TAAGCTGAAATCCGATTGAATCAAGAGTATTTTTTCTTGTCGATGTTCTTAAGAGGCTGGACTCTAAATCCAATGTGTTTTTTTTTCCAGGGTACGTTCCTTTGCAGGGAAACGACGATGATATCCTAAAAGCGGTAACAGCAGGAGAATAGAGAACGTATGGGTTGTCAACACTAACTTGGTTTCTTAATTTAAAAAGAGAAGAACCTTAAAGAGAAGGAAGTAAACGATGCGGTTGAAAATACAGCAATTTTATAGCACTTATAATGCGGGCAAGTTGTGTTGGACAGTAGTACCTTAGGTTAGGACTTATCATCCTCGCGGCTGCGACGAAGCTCCTAACTTTGTTCAAAACTTTCGATAAAGGATCAGCCAATAGCGGTGGGTCGGAACAGCGATAACAGATGAAGTTGCTACTAACCGGTACCTTTAAATAGTGAATGAATTGATGTCGATGCATTACGTCGTCCGTTCGAAAAACTAATCAAATCCCTCCGCTAAAGCTCGGACAGGGAAAATTTCAACTGATTGGCTTGTTTTCACGCTTGAGAGCATTCCTAAAACCTCGAATTTGCACGAGTGAAAATTCTACAGCGACATACTCCCGAAAGTTTGCCGATCGGAACAGCATAGTTGTCATTTGAAACGAAATTCCCCCGAACACTTTCGTGTGGTATATTTTGACTATTTTATCAGGACGACAACACTGTTAGCAATTATTTCGGTGATAAAATCGTGAAGTTGGGAGTGATTTGAGCTTGAATGGGATTGAACAGATTACTTTCCAATTCACGTAAACGCCACATTCAAAGGAAAACTAGACCATTCGACTCTATCGGTACCATCCGGGGTAATTCTGAACCCAGGAATACATTTTCCCATTAATCTGTTTTTCATCGAGCAATGATAAAATCCATACCATTGAAAATTTAGAGATCGCGCAAATTTTGCAATATAATCGGTTCCTTTAAATCGATGGTCAGAGTCGATAAATGCGTACTTGCAAATGCGATCTTGCAAATTTCAGAAAATGTTTTCTTCTCTCTTTCTTTTTTTTAAAAAAAGGATTAGTCGAAGGGTTCTCTTGAAATTTTCTGTAAATTTTTCCGACTCCTTTGAGGTATCTACACAAAATTTCAAGTAGATATTTTAGCTAGTATTTTTTAAACAAAAATAGAACAAAAATCAAGCACCACCGGAGATTTTTTCCGTTGCAACAAAGGTAATATTTTACTTTAGACATCAAAATGTACTTAGAGATACAATTATTTACACCTGGAGTCGGGCAAAATCCCCAAAAATCTCACTAACGCCAAGATAAAAAATACATTTGTGCTACCTGATCGCAAAGCGTTCTATCTATCAGTGCAGCCTGTGCAGGACGATAAATAACCTTAACGCAGTGTTAAACGGGAACGTGGATCACATGGCTGCAAAAATTCAGATCAGACGTTCGTGTGTTTTTTAGACTACCTTATTTGCGACGAGACAGTCATAAATAACGAATGCATGGTGTCTGTTGTAATAACCGTCTAGGTTGGCGGAAGGATGAGACCCAAACTGCCGTGCTAAAGAAGAGCAACGTAAGAGCCTTCAGGCGTTGCCACATTGCCTTCAATAAAGAGATAATTAGGGGGAAAATGTTGAAAAATATTCCTCCAATTTTTCAGACAATTTTGTTCGCAATTTTATCTAAAACATCAGGAAATTTCAAGAAAAAATATGCATAACCCTCCGCAAAACTAGACATCTTATGGGAGGAAATTTGGCAACTCTCGAATGTCCATACGGTGTTTTTCCTCAGCACGGCAGCAGAGGTTCCGAGGCGGGATGAAGGGGTTTAAAAAGGGACAGAGGTGGAGGTGGATAAAATATTCAACGAGGAATATTGTGGATCAATCTGGATTCTTAACTCTGCGTTTACAATCCTGCCGTCTATTCATTCTCCAACCCCTTCCTCGGCCCACCCTTTCACCCTTTCCGCCTCACCCTTATCTTCCTTCCCTTGTGATAGATTCGTGCTTGTCTTAATCCCTTCGGGACTCCCCGGCTCCGGCTATAGCATCCATTTTCAGAAATCGTTCTTTAATTCGAGAAACTGGTGAAAAATATTTCTCTGCGTAGAAATTGAACCACTTTTAAGAGAGGTATGGATTTCAGGGGTGGTATTTTTAACTTGTGATAAAATCTCGTGCATCTTGAGTCACGCAAAGCTGATGTTGGGTGTTTTTCTCAGATAAATATGTACACGTGTGTACTTAGACGGAAAAATATTTGAGTGATTACTAGATTCCTGAATATAAAAGATTCTCAGAAAATCTAGTAGCCAGCACTGGATTTCTTACAAAATGCTTGTCATAATGTCACATGGCTGATTCACGTACGATTTCCTCAAGATTACATATCAGTGAAAATCAAGTAGTCAGTAAAATTATTCTTTAGCCGTGCCAGACCAAAAAAGTAACCTCGCCGGGAAAGGAAACAAATAATAATTAAAAATTGATGATGGCAATGGCAAAAATATGAATTGGAAGGGAATTTTCCGATTTCATATTTAGATGAGCTGCGGTGTGCTATAACAGTAAAACTTTGAAAAGTCGTCCTTCAGTTTGTAAATTGGGATATCATTCTCTTCCCATGTTAATCGTTTTGGAATAATTGTAAATTCATGTTCCCAACATTTCTAATTTTTTCAATTCTGAGAACATTTTTTAAAAAATTGAAAGAAACTGACAGTTTTGTGAGTAGTTTTGAAGTATTAAAGTAGGACTGGAATTTTTCCGCCACCTCAGCTATGATGAGTTAAGATGTTTATTCTCAGTTATTACACCAATATTTTCCAACGTTTACGTTATGGGCATATTTATAAACTGATTCAGCCAGTTGATGAGTCGCAACTTTAATTGGACCGCGTTTAACAGAAAGGAACCAAACCACATCGGCTGTTGCTACATGTAACTGAGGAATTTAATTTTCTACAAGAGAACGTCTGTGCAAATTTTTTTAAAAATTTTAGGGGATCTGCCTTGTAACATGCAGAAAATTCACTGAAATTTTCAAACAAATTAGCTTCACCCTTTTCATGTAATAAATTAAATTGCCCAGTTAAATTTGGCAATAGCTGATGTGGCTTGGTTCCTTTCTGCTTAACGCGGTCCCATTAATAGCCCATCAAACGCTCTCGAGGAACCAAAATTGACCGAATTTCAACATTTGCATCGGTAAGTTTGAAGTTGTTGGGGTGGAGGTTAGGGAGGGCAAAGGCGCCTCGTCAGTCGGATGCGTCTTGGATGACGCAGCTTGGACATGGTCGGGAATTGGCCGTGAGGTCCAGTCCCTGCGGCCAAAATCAGGGAAACGGGGATCAATGGAGCAGGGAGTTAAATTCAGAAGCTCATCCCATCGGCATGGGGCATGGGTTGATGGGATTTTTATGCGCTCCGGGGAATTGGGCGAGCTCTCTTCCCTCAAATTGGAAACGCAATTTATTATCGACTTTTAATGATGATTTACAGCTTGTTTGTCCTCCTCTCCGGCTCCTCAGACCGCCTTTGTTACAATCCGGGACTTCCGATAATTGTTTTGATTTATTTCCGCTACATTCCGTCCGTTGCGGACCCGGGCTCAAAACTCGCCCTCTCCGTGTCTGCCTCACAGTGGATCGAGTCAATTAGAGAAATCAGACGTGACATTTTCGACAAAAATTGCACATTTTGATGTTTATTTCCTCACATTTTAAAGTTCAAGGGGTGCTAGAAGCGAAGAATTTTACGAGAAAACCAATGGAACCACTTTTAGAACTTCAAAGTTTTGTATAAACGGAGTTATAAGCTTTTAACGTTTCCCAATTTTGTCCAACCTTTCTTATTGATTCGGTCCACTATGCGCCATTGGCCAAATACAATATTTTTCAAACGAGCTGGCACTCGCATGTGTGAAGCTTTTTCGTCCTCTATCAGGCATGACTCTAGAATTCGACCCGAAAAAGCGCTCCAACTTTCAATTTCTGCTTTTATTTGTTTTGCGTATCTCTTACATTTTTAATGGGAATACGCATTTAATGGCCTCCTGATAGAACTTTCTCGGTTACGCGATCCCTCTCTCCTTTGACTCTCCCCATTCAGTTGCCTTGTTCGTTTTGACTTCCTCGCGTTCAAGCAAATATTTTGTCCATAGCAGGAACGAAATATGTAACAATAATTACAACGAGAATGTACTCTTTAGGAAATTATACTATCAAACATTTTGATAATGTTTGTGATTTCTATATTAATGCTAATTTTAAGACCTTTTTGCAACTCTATCTCCTTTTATATACCTCTTTTTTCAACCGAACTGAACGTCTACGTTTTAATAAAATATTTGTACGTTCAACGACAAAATGGTACTTAAAGTTTGCTTAGCACAAAGGACACGGTTCCATAGTGTGGACCTGTGCCTGTGCCTGCACTATAAAAGAAAGAGCAAAGAGAAACAATTGATAATTAAATTAATCAGATCATGCAAAAAGTCCGAGTACAGGATCTCGGAATTTGCATGCAGCGATTCAACTGCGTAACTTCCGAACTGAAGTTGATATGCATGAGACATTTGAAAAAGACAAGTAATTTTTAAATTGGCATTTTTTAATTATGAAACAAATTACCACGAACATAGTTAAATTTTTTCTCTGGGTATCGATTTGGTTAATCAGTGTGGCTTAGAGCAAAAGAAACTATTGTAATCCTGCAAAAGATGTGATGGACTTTAGATGTCCTCATATGCGATCCAATTCAAATGTAGGATATTTAAAAATGTTCATGTTGTGAATTCTTTACCAGATAAAATTTTGATTAAAATAGAATTGCGAGACTAACTTATTCGCAGTTGATGTAATTCTGCTCCATTCTCCTAACCCTAGACTGATCACAGGTCTGGTTTTTTCCTGATTTAAGTTTTATTTTGCTAGGTTTTGAAAAAAATAAGGAAATGAAAAAGAAAAAATAGGGAAACAAATGAGATGCAGTAAATTTTTTGAAATTTATTTCATTGCAATCTGGTTAACAGTGATGAGAAGTAGGATCTACATCATCTGATGAAAGTGGAGGAAAAGCGCATATCTGTCAATGCATTTTTCACCAGTAGTAGCCTCCGTAGGCTGCAGGGGCGTATCCGTAAGCTCCGTAGTAAGAGGCGGCTGGGGCGTAAGCGTATCCACCGTATCCTCCGTATCCGCTGTAGAAGACGGCTCGCTTGTCACGGGTCTGTTCCTCGGATTGCATACCGACCACGGCGGAGATGGCGACCATCGCGAAGAGAAGAGCGACCTTGCAAATCATAACACGTTTTGGTAATAGAATCATTCGGGAATTTGCTATGGCTTAATGTAAACATCAAATTTAGTGTGCCTTGCACATTTAAAAATTCCTGATGAGCTAATGGAATTCGTGTTTTTCTCAAAGTAGTGCTATTGAACCTACTCTGGGATAGGCACGCATTATTTTATGTAGAGGTGGTAAAATAGAGCTGGGTCCACACTATTTTGTGGGGAAAACAAGGCCAAAAAGTTCAAAAATCATTGTGGACCCATCACTATTTTACCAGCCTCTGTCTTAGCGTTTTTTTCTTGGTTAAGTATGAAAGCTATGTATTCCGGTTGTTTTCACCTATTTTGGTTGATTAGAGAAAAACAAAAAACCCCTTCGAAAGATAGGTGATTCAATCCTATTCGGCAGGTAAAAATAGGTCTAATATACCTCAGGCTTATCTTCGGTATGGAAATGGCTCTTGCATATTTTGTTAGGAAAGGTCAGCTTATTAAAAGTCAATATTTCTATCTTTAAATTGCAACTTTTGAGGTACGTTTTGTTCGAAAAAAATCGAAATATAGATTTCAAGAATTATCAATAGATTGAACTTTAAATACTCACGAGGAAGTTCATGATGATTGGGTTGGTTTTGGTTGTTGTGGGTGTGAAAACAGAAGAACACAAAACGAATGGATACCTTCCGTTTGGAGGAGGACGCTTTTATACAAAACTCAAAGCACTTGATCATTAGATTCAAATTTGCTGATAATAAAATTCAGACACGAGAACTACAATCAGCGCGACTTGGGCCTGGAGGCAATGTAGATAGCTTACATTGAAACCACATCAATTCTGTTCGAATTAAATCTGCAGTTATCACGTGAACCGCGACGGCAAATTAGTGAGTGGCGTCTCAACTTTTACTCCGATCGAAAATTAGTGACTTGCACCAAAATCGTGAAGTTTGTTCGGAACTGGTGGTTTTTTACTCATCTGTGGTTAAGTAGAGAATCCGCGGCTCAAAGCTCTCACTGGAATATTCTGCAATTTTTTTCACTGCTTCATATTATGAGCGTATTGTTTTCTCCATCATAACTTTATAATTAAATTCGGAACTCAATCGTGGCCTTTTTTGTAACTGCGGATGAAACATATTTGATAAAATGATCGAGGAGTATGAGATTCATTATTCCTATTAAATTTACTTTTTTAATAAAATAAATGAAACTTTTTGTGAAATTTCAGCAAAATGAGAATCCTGGGTGTTTCAAAGGGAATTCTGGTGAGGGGAAAAAAATCACTAGATGTTCTTGTTGTTTATTGACCAAAACAAAACTTTCTTGCAGAGTTTGAAAGTAAAAGCAAGAGGAGAGCAGAGGATGATCGTAGAGAAGCATGAGACAAAAAAATCATCCAGTATTGGTTGAGAAAAAAAAATGGGAATTGATGTGGAACTTTTAAGTGAACGAAATCTGAGTTTCGGTAGTGGTAGGATGCATATAAAATCTTATTGAACAGTTTTTGAGCATAAATGGCTGATACAATGGCCTGTGAAAATGTTAATGACAGATATTTAAGCACAACATTTTTTCTGTCTTGCCTTCGTAATCAAAGGAAGCAATTTATTTTGGGTTTCGTTTCATTTAATTAAGTTTATTTATTTATTTTTGCACGAGATGGTTAAACCTAAAAGACATTGCTTTAAAAAACATATGTAAAACTAAAATAAACGTAAAAGAGAATTTTATTTAAGACATCGAATTTTTTCCATTCATTACAACAGCAAGGAGTTGTGTATTGAGTGACGGTTAAATTCATTTAAAAACCTCTGACCAAGCACTGTTTCTGATTAAAATTCACATGCCAGAAAAATAATGAAAATACCACGTCAGCTTTTTCATCCACTCGACAAAGTTTGAAAGGCGGTACCTAATCATTGTTTGACATCCATGGGCATTATTTTCTATTCGGCTCATTTTTCAAAAATGAATTAATAAACGCTTTAAAGTTCAAAAGTTCAGTCGCGCCACGCCAATTACTGAGAAATAAACTTGTCAATCACCTTCAATTTACTCGACAATATCAAAACGCGTCACGGATTGTTTCCATTTTATTGAATGAAAGCCTCGAACGCGAGTGGTTTTGTCCTCCTCTTTTTTTCTTCAAAAAAAATATAGATATCACTCATAAGTCTGCCAGTCACAATGAATCTTGGCTATTTTGATGAATATTTCATTGTGTCGAAACTGCAGTGGATAAAACGAGGGCCCCACTTTCAGGAAAACGGGCATTGCCGTTTTATACGTCAAGGGCAATATTTGAACACGATGAACAATTCTAAAAACAAAATACACGATGAAGAATAAAGAACAGGGAATGATTGCTTCTACCAACCATCAATCGAGTGTCTAGGGGAATTAATTTTCGAGTTTTAAGCAGACGGATTTCCATAATTTCTGAATTTCCAATTCCCTGACTTTTACCCAGGACAATGCCTTCTTCTTCTGCATTTCGGTAATATCTTCCAATAAGATCTTTTTCTTTTGAATACGCTGACTTTCTTAAAATACAATCTGTATCTCCACTTCTGATGACTCAAATTGAGAAATTTGTACTCGAAAGTTGTTTGTGCTCTTTCGAATAGCACCGGCTGAAACTGCTGAACCTTGCTGAATACTTCGACTCTTACCGCTAAGTCAAAAAAATTTGCGAGTAACGTGCAAGTTCAGTTTTAGGTTATCTAGACAGCTGGAAACCCTGGTATTTTATATTAATTCATTACACTGGGAAAAAAAAGAAAAAAAAAAAAAAAACTCTCAATCTCAACTATACTCCTGGCTGATTTTGGTGCCAGTTATAAGAGTAGTTACACCAAACAGAGGTTTAGTTGATCCAACCAAACTTACGGCTGACTCAACCGTATCTTTGGCTGCTGCAACTACTCTTATAACTAGCGCCAAAATCAGCCCAGGAGTATAGTTGAGATTGTGAACTTTTTTCCATTTGTGCTGGTTGGTTCAGAAAAATTCGGAGAACTTGAGTTTTAAGCAAGTCTCTTTAATCATTCAAGAAAATCAGGCTCAATTTTACTTCGAGCGTCGTGCGTAGTGCAGGGGAAAAGTAACGTCGCAGTATAGGGAGTAATTTAGGTTCTCGCTTGAGGCTCCAGAGAGGCGAATGGGGCTTTCAAGATGAAGCGCTATCCGTGCCTAACGGGCAGAGCAAAGTAAGTCTCTAAAAGTGCAATTAATTTGGCAGATTACTTCGAAACAAGGCTCGATGCACAGCGGGCACGTTGAGAGAGAGTTTACCAAGGATCCTGCTTGGTTTCTCCCGCTGAAACTAAACCTTCAAGGTGCATCCTGGTTTTTAGGACTGCCGTCGTAGCCTGTGAAGGTGTTCAGGTTGATTGACAAAACATTTTTACAAAAATGGAAAGGAACTGCGCTGTTCCAGGTTTGAGTCGCAAGAATTTTTTTTTCCCTCAAGTAATTTAGAAACCGCTGTCACATAAATTCTATTATCTAGCCAAGTGAAAAGATTTGCAAAAATCCGCATGAAATTTTTCTTTAAATTTGTTTCTTTTGCGTCTGAAAAACCAAAAATGGAAAACCTTTCTATACAAAAAACTGGGATGCAAACTTTTAGGCAAGAAGCATATGCTTTACAACTTATTTTTGACTGTTGAATCAAAAAATGATATTGGCTTTTCCCTATTATAAACCAATTTATGAAAAAATCAAATTTTCTATGAAAACCCAGTTTTTCTAGGAAAATCTAGATTTTTTGGAAATTAATGATTGTTCTATAAGTTGAAGAGAATTTTCAGACTCAGCTCTAAAAATTACGAAAGAATGCAACATTAAACGCTCAGCGTTTTTTGGGTGCACAGGTGCACCCCTATAAACGATGTTCATGGGCTTAGGACTTCTAAGAATCCGACCGAATCGATCTGATTGCATCCTTGGAAATTTTGAATCACCGCTATGCACCCAAGAAAAAAAAAAAAAAAAAAAAAAAAAAAAAAAAAAAAAAAACTCCACTGAGACGCGTTTTATACGGTGTAGTTGTCATATAATTTTGCATGCAGTTAGCGTGCTGAGCCGAGATAGGTATAGAGGTTGAAGGAGCCTGGCAAACGTGAGCTGGGACCTTTAAAAGGTTCGCGCGCGGGAACATGGCTGGAGCAGTAACCGACCCGATGATCGTAATTAAAGTCCAGCCGGGGGCGGGGCAAAAAGTCCACGGCTAAAAAGCTAAAAAGCGCAGGTAATAATACGGATCATTAAGCTAAAAAGCGCAAGTTGGCAAATTAACACCAGACCGCTACGCAGCAGCCGACCCGGTGGCCACTATCAAGATAGTGATATTTAACAGTTCGGAATGAACACATGGCTATTATCTCATGGAGAGAGAAAGAGAGCCCCCCCCCCCCCCGAACCCCTTCTCTCCAACTCACCACTAATAACGCTCACGCCCACAAGTCCACGCACACAAAAAAAGTCATCATTCCTGGAACATTTTCCCTTTCGGATGCATTTTCACCTTCTCCGGCGTGCCTGATTTTCCTGGGGCTTTCTCTGTCCGTTCTTTGTTAAACTCCTTGGACCTCTCCGGGCTCCGAACTTAATTCGAGAAATTTTCTCACCCGTACTCGAGGTTCTCGCGGCGTAATACCCACTCAAGCTTCAAACCCCGGAGTGCCGCACACTTTCAGCCGCTAATAGAGATCTGATTAGACTCATGGCGAGTCGTAAGCTACTTTTGAGAGGTGAAGTTGATAACGAGAAATACGTGCAACTTGAGAAACGTGTATTTTTCTTCCGTCGTCGCCTTCCCTTCACACTCGTGCCTTGGAGTTTACGCACACGTTTCAAGATACTACCACATAGATCCATTTTGGAAACAGTTATATTTTCTAACTGATCGATGACTTACAACATAATAGAAAATAATATTGTTTTTAAGGAAAATAATGAATAAAATAATTATCTCGATCAGATTTTTGTTACAGTCAAATGGCGGAATCGGGCATTTTCTGCGCGGATATAGTCGAATTTTGAAAGTTATATCGGAGTTCGTATGTTTTTAAAAAAGAGCTCTCGATTTTCAAAACGTCATAAGTGAAATTCATCAGAATACGTCATATCTCTATATTTTACTGCTCAAAATTATTTTTCTCATATACTTTCAATCATCAAAATTATCAAAACTCAGTACCTAGATATTTTAAAAGAATGTGACAAGTATCTTTGGCGATAAATTTTCATTTCTAGACTAGAAATCATTACAGCAACCATGGGATGATGCAGTTTTTTTNTTTTTTTTTTTTTTTTTTTTTTTTTTTTTTTTTTTTTTTTTAAAAAATCACTCCTGTCTATGAGAATAAATTATTATTTTGTTCAAAGTATTCGAGACAGGCAAAAAGCTAAGATTTTCCTTCAAATTTGCGTGATACCACATACCTACTCCGGAGTTCGAATAGTTGCGCGCTTGATTTCCACATTAAACCATGCGAGCATAATTCCTTCATTCATTAACGTCAGCAATTTACGACAGGCAAAAAGCTAAGATTTTCCTTCAAATGTGCGTGATACCACATACCTACTCCGGAGTTCGAATAGTTGCGCGCTTGATTTCCACATTAAACCATGTGAGCATAATTCCTTCATTCATTAACGTCAGCAATTTACGACAGGCAAAAAACTAAGATTTTCCTTCAAATGTGCGTGATACCACATACCTACTCCGGAGTTCGAATTGTTGC